TTACAAGCTACTTCTCCCTCTCCCTCTCCAACTCCCTATCCTCTTCAACCCTTATTCCCACTCCCATTCCCACTCCCACTCCCTCTCCCTCTTCCTCTTCCTTTTCCTCTTCTTCCCCCACTCCCTTCTCCCACTTCCACTCTCTTTCACTCCCTTCTCCCACTTCCACTCCGGTCCCACTCCCTCTCCCATTCCCATTCCCTCTTCCTCTCCCACTCCCTCTCCCACTACCATTCTCATTCCCACTTCCTCTTCCTCTCCCATTCCCACTCCCTCTCCCATTCCCATTCCCATTCCCTCTTCCTCTCCCACTACCATTCTCATTCCCACTTCCTCTTCTTCTCCCACTCCCTCTTCCTCTCCCACTCCCTCTCACACTACCATTCCCATTCCCACTTCCTCTTCTTCTCCTACTCCCTCTCCCATCCCCACTCCCTCTTGCTGCACTCGCCTCCCTCCAGGTCGCCCTTTTGGAAGCGGAGGCCCGGCGTTCAGATCTCTTCAAGTCCCTCCGTGAACTGAACAGGTTGGCATGCGGGCAGGACTCCAACGCAGGAGCAGCCCATAGGATAAGGATCACTTTTGACAGCTTACAAAGGTGGGTTTTTTCGTGTTATTTTTTTTGTGTGTGTGGAAAAGCTGAGGTTTGACGTGTAAATGTTGTGTGTTTAACATTATTGTGATTAGATTGAATTTAGGATTGTTAGGGTATTAGTTTTCATCACGTAATATTCATTATACTTATGCAGTTGTTGTTGTGTATTTCCCCTTCAGCCACACGTACGTAATCCATAGTATTCGTGTAGCGTATTAAACTGTCCCAAAATAACATGAAAAAAATCCACTCTTTATCTTACCAAAATTCTCCCTCTTACACCCCCCCCCCCCGCCCACCCTCACCTGTCCTCTCATGCCCCAGATTCATGGAAGAACAGGTGCGTACCAGGCTGAAGCAGGTGTCACAGGTGTCCGTGCAGGTGGCGCTACTGAAGGGCGACCTGGCCAAACTCAAGTCGCGACTCGAGAAGAGGGAGGAAGATTTTCTCGATGCCAATGCTGAAGGAAACGCTACGTCTCAGGTCAGCTAGAGAGGGAGAGGGAGAGGGAGAGGGAGAGGGAGAGGGAGAGGGAGAGGGAGAGGGAGAGGGAGAGGGAGAGGGAGAGGGAGAGGGAGAGGGAGAGGGAAAGAGAGGAGGAGGGGGAGGGAGAAGGAGAGGGAGAGAGAGAGAGGGAAAGAGAGGAAGAGGGGGAGGGAGAAGGAGAGGGAGAGAGAGAGAGGGAAAGAGAGGAAGAGGGGGAGGGAGAAGGAGAGGGAGAGGGAGTGGGAGAGAGAGAGGGAAAGAGATGAAGAGGGGGAGGGACAGGGAGAGGGACAGGAAGAAAGAATATTGAGAAGGAAAAAAAAAGAAAGACAAGAGGAAGGGAAAGAAGATAACAGGAGGAATAGGGGGAAAATGAAAGGGAAAATCGAAGCAACGTGATAAGAAAGGACGAAGAGGAAACGAGGAATAAAAAGAAGCGAAAAATTGAGAAGACGAAAAAGAGAGAGGAAAGAAAGAGAGAGAGAGGGGAAGAATAACAGGGAAATAAGAAACAGTAAGAGTACGGGGGAATGACCCAGATGAAGTTGGGGGAGCGGTGTGTATTGGGAGGGAGTGGGAGGAAGTGGGAGGGAGTGGGAGGAAGTGAGAGGGAGTGGGAAGGAGTGGGAGGAAGTGGGAGGGAGTGGGAGGAAGTGGGAGGAAGTGGGAGGAAGTGGGAGGAAGTGGGAGGGAGTGGGAGGAAGTGGGAGGAAGTGAGAGGGAGTGGGAAGGAATGGGAGGGAGTGGGAGGAAGTGAGAGGGAGTGGGAGGAAGTGAGAGGGAGTGGGAGGAAGTGAGAGGGAGTGGGAGGAAGTGAGAGGGAGTGGGAGGAAGTGAGAGGGAGTGGGAGGAAGTGAGAGGGAGTGGGAGGAAGTGAGAGGGAGTGGGAGGAAGTGAGAGGGAGTGGGAGGAAGTGAGAGGGAGTGGGAGGAAGTGAGAGGGAGTGGGAGGAAGTGAGAGGGAGTGGGAGGAAGTGAGAGGGAGTGGGAGGAAGTGAGAGGGAGTGGGAGGAAGTGAGAGGGAGTGGGAGGAAGTGAGAGGGAGTGGGAGGAAGTGAGAGGGAGTGGGAGGAAGTGAGAGGGAGTGGGAGGAAGTGAGAGGGAGTGGGAGGAAGTGAGAGGGAGTGGGAGGAAGTGAGAGGGAGTGGGAGGAAGTGAGAGGGAGTGGGAGGAAGTGAGAGGGAGTGGGAGGAAGTGAGAGGGAGTGGGAGGAAGTGAGAGGGAGTGGGAGGAAGTGAGAGGGAGTGGGAGGAAGTGAGAGGGAGTGGGAGGAAGTGAGAGGGAGTGGGAGGAAGTGAGAGGGAGTGGGAGGAAGTGAGAGGGAGTGGGAGGAAGTGAGAGGGAGTGGGAGGAAGTGAGAGGGAGTGGGAGGAAGTGAGAGGGAGTGGGAGGAAGTGAGAGGGAGTGGGAGGAAGTGAGAGGGAGTGGGAGGAAGTGAGAGGGAGTGGGAGGAAGTGAGAGGGAGTGGGAGGAAGTGAGAGGGAGGGGATGAAGGGGAAGGTCATGTCTACGGGAAGTAATCTAGGCAACATCGGTGAAAGACTTCGGCGCCCTCTCGGTGGTATGGTGTAGCTCTGTCCATGGGGCAGGTAAGTCTTCCCCACAACCTGGCCAATCCTGGTCGTAGACAGGTTTGTCGCGGAGATGGAGATCGTTTCGGTACAAGTATTGAGAGACGGATGAGGCTGGGTAGGAGTGGGTTTGTCAGTGAAGTCTGTCAGGGTTGATAATGCTTTAGCTTGGTCTTCCATCCTTTCAACACGGCCTTCACGCCTTAGGAAGCGGAGAGTAGAAGGGGCTGGAGAAGAGAAGGAAAAGGGGAGGGGAAGAAGAGAAGACGTGACAAAATTAGTTGCGTCGAAGGCTGAGGCCCAAGGCAAGGGTGATCCCTGGCAGTGGGCCTTAGTCTCCGTCTCCTAAGACCCTCACATCCACCAAGACAACAACGAGCAAGAGATTTAGGGAGAAAGATGCATAAAGATGCAGACAGAGAGGGGGCACAGTAAGACATGAACAAGGTAACAGTACCCATGTCTTTCTTCAAACTTAATTGCATTGTCTTCAATCTTCCCTCCTCATTCAAGGGATCTTTCCAGTCCGCAGTGAACCATCTGCTAACTCTGACCTCTCATATTTTTCTCCTAGGTTAACTATCTCAAGAAACGTTTGGAACATGAAGAGGTGAAGACGCGCGTTGAGGACAACGGCAAGGTCCTCGCTTCACTCAGACACAAGCTAGGTATGTCAAGTTACTTTGATTAATTTTGTATACATTGTTTTAATATATATGTATTCTTTTATATTAATTTTGGTTGTATTCATTATTTCACGTGAATGCAATGCGCTAGGTTTGTGTACGAAGTTGATCATTATCTATCGCGTGAACTCTTCTTCCTTTACTGAACTTCGCAACAGACAGTAACCGACGGAAACTAAACCGCCTGGAGGACGAGCAACAGCATAAAGGGACTCGCCTGGAGGAACTGAAGAGCCAAGCAGTCATGCTCGAGGAGGAACTTACGCGCCTCTCGTCCAGCAACTCTAGGATCACTTCCCACGTCAACCAGCAAAACGCCACTACGCGCAGGAGACTTCAGGCTCTCAAAGACAATAGCAAGGAACCGGTTAAGTACAAGTTTTTATTTTTCACATCAGAAAAGGTTACCCAAGGCCCCATCCACACGAACGGGCAGTGCCCATCGGACAATGGCTGGCGAGTGGAGATTTCTCGCTTGTTTAGCAGTATTACCCGATCGATTTTATTTATGCATTGACCATTTTCTGCCGTCTAAGGTAATTAGTGGCTTATTCAAAATACAGCGATAGGGTGAGGCTTGGGAGCGAAGCATTATAATAAAGTACTGTGGCGAAAAGGGTAGAAACGAGTTAACGATTAAGATAAGTGAACAGAAGGAGCTGAAGAGAAGGAAAAGGAGAGAAGAAAAGACCAAACAATATTTGTTGAGGCGAGGGCTGAGCTCCAAGGGATCCCCTACATAGGACCTTGTCTCCGTCACCTAAGCCCACCAGGACAACGAGGATTAACGAATTGGGAAGGTTATCAGAGTGAGCAGTCCTCAACTACCATCGGCTACCACCAGGGGTCAGACCGAGCTGTGGTGAGGTAGTGACTGTAGTAATTGTCCAGTTAACGTCGGGCATCGGTCTACGCTCGTAACCGCCAACCACTCTCTAGAAGTTGGTTTGGAACATCTGGTTACAGTTTGCCCGTTCGTCTGGATGGGGCTTAAGGGATTGAAAGTATTGTTAGTACGTTAATGGATGTAGAAAGATGGTCTTGTTTCAGCACATTTCATTCACAAGAGCAAATAGTAGTGTAGATTTTATTTCACCGACTAATATTCGTCGGTACTATTTGCAACAAAAATAACATCTTACTATAAAAAGCAAATTCTTTAAACCAATAATTATAATCCTATATTTTAAGTGGAAACTTCCGTTTCTTTCGAGATATGAACTTATCTGAAATAGCTTTTAGGAAGTTCAGTTTGCTAACTTAAAACATTTACCAACAGATGATCACAGTGGAGGAGTACTTGAAGTTGAACACCAAAGTCCAAGTGCTTGAAAAGGAGGTCAAAAGATGGAGTAAAAAAGCCGATACTTTACGCTGTTAACGATTGCGGTTTAGAGGATTTATCTGCAATTAGAAGCTATGTATGTGTGTAACAAAGGTTATGGAATTTTCTTACTATGTCAGAAAGTTTTAAACAGGATTTACTTCAACAAAAATCCAGCCAAGGTATTAATAAAAATAAAAAGGGACTAATATTTACCTGTAATGTTAGTCTTGGATTTTTTACTGTTTACCACTTCCAATTCAAAGTTTGTTGCAACAAAATTAGTTTTGATAATTATAAAATGTCTTGTGAAGCTTTACCACGGATAAATAATCACATTTGTCAATTTGTTTAAAAATTTATTACACCTAAGGTTCGTCTATACATGAAGTGCAAATGCATTATGTTCATCTTTGGCTAATATATACAATTTACACTTATGTAACACACAGAAACATGACTACCATATGGTACATTACAAATCTACCTTATAACGTACATGTTAATCGTAAACGTTTTGTACTGTAATACCATTACATAAAAATAAAATAATGGCAACATTGTAAAGCTATCACAGTCCTCTATACATTAAAAGAATAAGAAACTCCCATTTGAGAGTCTCTTGTACAGCGAAGTTTCGTTTACAAATCTTCCGTCTGTTTGTCACTGGAGGAATCCTCTGCGGCCGCTTCAGACTCTGCTTGTCCCGTGAGTTCCTGAAGGAGGGAATCGACACTTAACAAGGAGGAACATTAAGAATAACAATCACACGGTAGTAAATGATAACTTTAACTCATTGCCGCCGGGGAAAATGAACAAAAAATGGGGGAAATGCAGTACTCATTCTTTATATTTTTGTGAAATATCTGTCCATAAATGGCTCTGCTAGTCCTGATTCCACCTTCGCTTGAATTGGCGGGGAAAAACGTATTTTCATTAGTGCTATAAATTTAGATGGTGTTATTTTTAACAGCAAATTAGGATAACGTTAAATATTTTCGTAAATCGATGAAAAGGGTGAACGGGCGAGACAGGCAGTACTCGTAATTGGCTCATCGGATACTTAGTACAAGTGTAGCCATCTATGTGTAAAAACAATCGAACAAGTCGACTCACAGTGGGCATGGCATGGACGTACATGCCATCCCTGGCGGCAATGGATTAAAAGGGAGGTCCTAGAGCGTCACACAATTCCTGCTGTAAATTCTCCCGCAGGCGAGGAAGGCCAAAGAAGAATCACATGGGAACCAAAACCTAAACAAAGCCAACCCAAACCACACGCTGCTTACCTGCACCATCTCCGCCAGGCCCTTCGCCTCTTCCACCATCTCCTCGAGCAGCTTATTCTCTTCTTTTAAGACCGTGACCTCCTTCTGCAACGAGGCGTTTTCTTCGTGAAGTTTGTGGTTCTCTTCGAGCGTCTCCTCTAGGGCCTCCCGCCGCTTCTCCGCCAGGCTCTCCCAATACTCGGGGGGAGGCGTGTCTGCAAGGAAACGGGACGAATTAATAAAAGGACTAGTGAAAATTACACTTGCCGCTACAACAGTAGAGTCCTGTGGCGCTGACTTTAATTAAAATCTATTAAGTATAAACAATTCAAAATAAAATGTTGAGAGATTTAAATATTTTTTTTTAGTTAATACAATAAAACGTGCGACTTAGGGAACAAGCATTTTATGCATCAAGATATAGACCGCTGATCATCCGATATGAATGAGCTGTTGCACCCCCCCCCCCAAAAAAAAAAAAAAAAAAAAAAAAAAAAAAAAACGTAAAAGCAACTGACCACATGTGAGCATATCAAGTGTACTGCACTTGGTCCCGGCATCCGTCTTCGAGGCAGCACTGGGTTCCGAGGAAGACTTGGACGCGACTGGCGTTCTGGGCGTGAGGATGGCGACGGGGGCGCTGTCGTCGGTCTGCACGGCGATGGACGCGAAGGTCTTCTGCTTCTTGGCGGGCTGCACGGGGTCCTCGAAGATGCCGTCGGCCCGCTTCGGCTTCGTCTGGCAGCTGTTCTCGTCACTGGAACGCAAGAGGGAGGGTCAGCGCTTGCGAATGGCGTTTGAGGATGGAGTTTTAATTCTACATTATATTTATAATAAAATATTAAAGATAGTAGAGATATATAAATCTTTCCAGCGTTACATGTCCACTGATCGAATCACCATGAATTCCTAATCGACATATCTACGGAAAAAAAACCCTGGTGGACGCAAAGGTGATGAGACGACTTACTTTTTTCTCTTCTTCCCTCTGCTTGGTGAATGGACTCGCAAGCCGCCATTGGAAGAGAGCAAAAGGCGCGATTGCTTCTGGGCGCTGGGCTGAATGACGCCCAGTCTCTTGCGCTCGTCGCCTGCCACCTGAATACACGAGGCCAAAGTTCAAAACGAGTTCAGTTAGATGGAGTGGTATCCTTTGCATGCAATCTACTTAGTTTACGTTTCTCCCCCAATGTATGCATATTTTCTTCGTAACCGTTTCTAATTACGTGTTAAAAAGGTCTCTACAAATAGTTTTATTCAATACGGAAACTGCAAAAACACTGCATACAAGCCAAATTCTACAACTAAATAGAAAGTATTTTTTTTTTATTATCTTTATTATAATCCTTTCCTTTCACTTGTATATTCCGTTTTCTGAACAGCTTTCGAATTCGATATAGATGAAAGGGTGGTCAAGGTGGTAAGGGTATTTAAATGGCCGTTTTGACCATTATGGATCTACTTCGCTCAGTATTTGAACAAATAATAAGGGTAAAGTTACAAACAGCCATCTTTTAGAAGGAAAATAAGATACAAACGACAGAGCGAATAAACCTAAAGAAAATCCCCGCAAATGCATTATCCGGGGAAGTCGCAAAATAGTATTTTCCAATAAATAACGCAAACTCACTAAACTCTCTACTACGACCTCTTCTCCAAATGAAACCACGCGTCATTAACTATTCTCGAATCACAATACTATACACTACGAATTATTTCAAAACTAGTCTGGTGAAATCCCAATAAAAAATAAAATAAATAAAACTGGCGCTAAAATTACAATGGAAAATCCTAACGGCCATCAAGACATTTGTAGGATTGCAAATTTCTATGCTAAAGCTCAGAACACGAGTTAAAAAAATATATATAAACTGAATACGATAAATAGAAAAATAAATTAATAAAGAAGGGAAGGTTTACAAAAGAAAGTTGGAATTGTATTAAACAAAATATGCATATCTTTTGAAAATAAAATCCAGAGAATATATTACATCCGAAGAAACGTTAAAAAAAATAAAGCCTTGCATAATAACACGGACTTAAAAAGGCTGAAAATACAAGAAAAAAAGAACAATCCTTTAAATAACATGCCCTTCACGTTTAAAGGGAAAACGTAAACAAAAAAACAACAGAACCAATCTTATTTCCACCCCTTCTTCCCTTCTAAATCCAAATACCGACGTATCCTCACACTAACCTTTTTCTTGGGGACATTTTCCTGGATCCCGAACGTGAGACTGCGCTGAGCAAGAGACATTTTGGGGAGAAAAAAGCGAGAGAAAAGGCGGCCGCTGACTGTCTCGCGTTCAATGGCTCGGCGGGAAGTCGACGCGTGGACGGAGCCGCTGGTTCCCTTCTCTTTTATCTGATTTATTTTATGAATTAATTAGTATCGAGTTATTGGGTTGTTTTGGATTATGTTGATGTGATAATTGTTATTATTTTTTAAATTGGGGTTGGTTTGGTGGGCGTTTGGGTACGGATATGAAAAAATCGTCTGGATCTTCACTAATTTAGGAATGAATGAAAAAAAATATATCTCCCGTCGAATGAGATTATTTTTCCCCCCTGAAAAATAACAAATGCCTGGAAGATACCCCCGCCCACACAAAGACACCCACCAATGTCGACACTTCAGGATGAAAACAATCAGCTGAGGAAGGAAATTTTGTCACGTCATTTGCTCCCTTATTTAACGCCTCAGGTACGCTTATTTCCCTCCTTATTTACTCGCTTTTCCCTGTGTGGCGCGGCAGAGAGGCGCCTGGTGTCCGGGCACGTCCAATTGGGGGGGATTTGAAGGTCGCAGGAGGGAGAAATCAAGGAGAGAAGGACGGGACTTGTTATGTGTGGGGTCGCATGATCGCGTTATTGTTTTATAATTATGGTGGGAAATTCTGGTGGCTGGATTAATTGTCGGGACTGGATCGTCTGTGGTGATATGTGGTAGAAATGGGCATTTTTTTCATTGCTGAGGCTTTGAGCGAGGGTATAGGAGGGTGCAGGACTCAGAGCTGCAGTTGCATCGTTTAATAATTCGTGAAAATGAAAAATTTTATTGCCTTTTTTTTTATTAGCTGCTTTTCTCGGACTTGAATGGGAGGCCAGAGGGTAGGAATGTAGGCCTATTGACTCTGATTCACCCATGCTTAGGCCTTTAAACTACAGGGAAGGCGAGGACACGGGTGAAGGGAAATCAAGACCTTAAAAGGTATTTATTGTTAGAAAGGTAGTTTAGGGAAATGGCAGAATTACAAAGGATAAGCTGAAAGGTATAAACACTTTGCAGAAAGAAATGTTACACAAATACAATCACCAAAGATGAACGTTAGACATTGTAGATCCAAAACCTATTACTACCAATTTCCGGAAATCTTTCCGAGCTAAACAAGACCCTACTTTACTGGAATAGGGAGAATCCTATATTATGAAGGAATATATACGGTATCAGGCTTGTTTTATGCTACTATCCAAGCTTAAAATATTAAAAATGGATTTTCCGTTACTCGTATTCAAAACTGATTATCACATAAAGGACAAACAGGTATAGTTGTAATCAGATATATCAATTATCTTGGTTGAAGAATGAAAGCAAAAGTCATTTTAGCAAGAGTTTTACAACATTAATGTACCCGGTATTGTATGGAGTGGGTAGGTCTATATAATAGCTGCTACCACCTCTCGATAAATCTGGAACACATCTGTACATCTTTGTCTGCCGGTCACGCAACGTTTTGCCAGGGAGGTTAGGTTAGTATCCATTATCTGCCCAGTCTGATCTCCGGTCGTGCTAACTTGTGCTCCCAGTCTCAAATCCCGGTAGGCCTATTGACCAACAAGTATCAGTGTGCTGTGATATGTTTTGTTAGCATGTTAGGGGGGAGACTTTGCTATTGATGAGATTGATGTATTAATGATGATGATAATGTTATTGATAATATTAATATTGATGATTATAGTAATGATAATGATTATAATGGTGATAATATTGACAGTATTGATGATAACTGTATTGATAATGATGATAATATTGACAGTTTTGATAATAATTGTATTGATAATAGTGATGATGATAATGATCATGATTATGATAGACTAATGAGGATGATAAAAATAATAATGATCATGATAAAGATAGTGATAATGGTAATGTTAATAATGATGATAATGATAGCAGTGATAATGATAATGACAGTAATAATGATGATAATAGCAACACCAATAACAAAGATAACAGTGATGATGATAATATTATCTTTATTATTATGATTTTTATCATTATTGTTATGGTTATTGTTATCATCATTATTATTATTGTTGCTACTAATGTCATTATCATTATCATTATTATTATTGTTGTTATTATTATTGTTGCTATTGTTATTGTTGCTATTGTTATTGTTGTTATTGTTATTATTATTGTTGTTATTATTATTGTTATTGTTGTTATTGTTACTACTACTACTACTACTACTACTACTACTACTAATTTTATTGTTATTGTTATTATCATGATTATTATTATTATTATTATTGTTATAATTACATTAAAATTTATTATTGTTTTTGTTAATTGTTTATGTTCTTACTTTTTAAATTGTGTAATTATAATCATTGTATTCTAATTCATTTTATTATTAGCAATGATAATGCTAATAATTTCTCCCCCCCCCCCCTGCCATAGCCCACCTATACCACCTGCCCTCTCTCCCCGTCATACAAAACTGATAGACTGATTGCAGCCTTTTTGTATGACCCTAGAAACATGTGGAGCTTTGAAGGAGACTACCGTCGTAAGCCACAACAGAGGCTCGGGGGAGCCAGTCGGGCCAGGAACATAGAGCGGTCGGACCTTCTGAGCCAGTTGAAGTCCGACAGAGAGGAACGTGAGGTGAGAGTTTGGCGACGGGGAGGATCTGCGACGGAGGTTTGGCCCGGAAGCGGCAGGCATGCCTTTTTTTCGGGCATGGAGGAATTCTTCTGGACGATCCTTTGGTGTCATAGTATCCTCATAAAGACAGTGATATTTATTGGTTAAGATTAGGGTATTTTGATCATCCTGAAGCTGTGAGAAAGAGAGTAGGACATGTTTACAGTATTTGTAATTATCAATGTGTAATCTTCTTTAACAATATGATCTGATAAGGAATAACCATTTTTAAAAGATTGATTTCTTTAGTAGCCCTAAGTCTTTATCTAGATTCTAATTTTGGGTTTTGGGGATTCTGATTTTGGGATTTTGGGATTCTAATTTTGGGATTTTGGGATTCTAATTTTTGGGATTTTGGGATTCTAATTTTGGGATTTTGGGATTCTAATTTTTGGGATTTTGGGATTCTAATTTTGGCTGTACCCCACAGAGACAACGGAGGAGAGAAGCAGCAACACTCACAATCCAGTCATGGACACGGGGGATGCTGAGCCGAAGGAAGACCAAGCAGGAGTTGCGACAGCAGTGTGATAGTGTGCTAGCCCAAGCCAAGTCTCAGGGAATTACTGAACCTGCAGCCAGAAAATTGATAGCTTTACTGATTAGAATATATAATGCAAAGGAAGACAGTGAGAGATTGGTACGTTTGCTCCATAAGAGAATTTTTTTCTCTCTCTCTCTTTTTTTTTTTTTTCGCATCATCCTTTACTTGTTCTCTGTTATTGTCTTCTTCCTTTTATTTGTCCTCCTCTTCCTTTTCACTTGCTCAAAGGCAATCCCCAGTCTTCTCAGGCTTTAGTAATATTCACTTCCACTTCTTTGCTAGGAAATCTAACTCGTTAAGAGCTAGGAGCTAGATAAAGCATAATCATAATAATCGGAATCAATAAAATATATACTGTGGATAATAATGAATAGACTTATATAGTGAATAATGCTATCAATATGAATTCCTCAGCTCCAGACCTGCCAGCTGGTGGTGGTGGAGCATCAGCGACTGTCGGGCTGGGTCTGCGCTTCCTTCCATCAGTGGATGTACCTTCTGCCCAGACTTGCGAACATGGCGTTGGTCTCTGTCACGAGCTCACATGACGGTATGCATGGCAGCGTCTGGCTTTGTTGTTTGCTCATGTGATATGCAAGCTGCTTTCTTGGATGACTTTATCTTTGGAGTTGTAAACAAAACGGTATTATTGTTATTATTGATGATATTGTTTATTATTGATATTGTTATTATTACTGTTATTATTATTATTGTTATTATTATTATTATTATTATTATTATTATTATTATTGTTCTTATTGTTATTATTATTGTTGGTGTTGTTTTCATAATTATTTTTAAATTATTATTATTGTTATTATTGATGATATTGTTTATTATTGATATTGTTATTATTAGTGGTAACAAGTTTGTTATATTATTATATTATACATTGCACTATGGTCATGATATAGTGGTACTATGATCTGACTGTAATGAATTTGTATTCACATCTTTTGGCATCTAAAATATGATTTAAAGGGGGGGGGGGATATGGACCAACAAATCATATGGAAACAACTAGATTCCTTGTTATTTACTCCAAAAACACATGAAAAATAAATTCATATCCAGGTATCCCAAGAATTCAAATGTACAGTGTGAATATTGGGACAGAACATGTGTCAGGTAAGTTACACTGCAAATATTAGCCATTAGCCAGCATTGATGTTGAAAGTGTAATGTAAATATTGTAACATAGTCTATGTATATGATATCTATCTTCATTCTAACCACAGGACAGTCTGCCATGCCACATGCATCTCCATTGAGACTCCTGCAGATACTTATGTCTCCTGACAGTTGGAAGACAAAGCTATCAGAAAGCAACCAGCAGATCTTCCTACTATCACTGTATTCGTATTTAATTAGTAAAGGTAAATGGCTAGTGAATTAATATATTGAGAGAAAAGATTGTAGAATGGTTGAGTTAAGGATATAGATTATGCATAATTTTTAAGAATTGTGAATGTTTGAAAATATAATGGTTCTATTTCTGTTATTTATTGTAAACTATATTCCATATCTGCATATTTTTTTCTCAGATTATTATCACCAAGTGGTCCACTTGATGGTGACGCGTGTCCCTGATATTTATGAGCCCTCGCCCATAGCCCCCACAGCACTTGCAGATGCACTCTTGCAGCTGCTTTTGTCTCCAGTGTCCTTTGCTTTATCACTAGATGAATCAACGTTATTGTAAGTCTGCTTCAATTTTTGTTTTTATTTATTTAAGTTGATATATGATTATGTTATAAGTGTCATGTTTTCAGTGGATCATCTTCTAGAATGTAAAGTTGTGTGAAGACTCTTTAACACTATCTTAACCTTGATGAATATAATATCGTATGTGTGGATTTGATTTTGGCTAATATTTATGAATGAACATAGATACTGTACAGAAGTAAGTGCTTAAATTATTGGTGAATAGATACAGAAATGTGGTGAAATTCATTAAAAAGAGAAGTTGTTTCATCAAATTTAAAAGATGCATTACTCTTGTTCAGACATGTGATCAAATGAAGAATTGCAGACTTGGCTATATAAGTATGCAACATTCCACTGTGATATTTCAGGTCTTCTGTGATAGACGAACTCTGCCAGGAAATCTTTGGCAAAGCCTCCCACACCCAGATTTCCAACTATGTCATTCCCTGCCTGGCCTCAAGAGAGAACTTCAAGCTGCCCGTGGACAAGATTGTAGCCGTCTTGGGCAGTCGATCGTCCAAGTTCCTGAAGGCTTGTCCAGCTCCGCCTTTGCTCTATTCCCTACTCATGCTTGTTCGGTCAAATGCTGGTAGGTTGATTAATTTTGTTTGAGGGGGAAGTTAAAAATATTTTTGCTTCTTAGATTATGTAGGGTCAAGGGAAGGAATTTTCTTACATTTAGTGGCCCAAAGAGATGATTATATATGTAGTAACAACAACTCAAAAAACAGAAAGACATAAAAAGCAATCCCTCTTCTTCCAGACTTCTCCGATTCACACGCACTGTGCGATTACCTTCAAGCCATAAGTGATTTATTAGGGGGAACAACAACCTATCTCCTCAGCGAAGTGAATGACGTTGACTCTGACTCAGATGACGATGACACGATGGATTCAACAGAAGCCATAGATCCAGTATTACGCAAGGTAGGAGGAAACTTTGAGTGAAGTGTTGGGATCAGGCATACACGATGAAATAGATATTTGCATACTTGGGCATACTTGTAAATGATATCTGATTCCTTTTTGTGGCCAAAGCTTGCAGAGGAGTGTGTGGCCATAGTCAACAGTACAGAGCATGTTGGATGGCTGTTGAGTCATGTGGAACGGCAGGTCTCTCCGGAGGTGTTGCTCCATTTCTCAAGGTTAACCCATCATCTTCTGACGGCACCATCGCTGCAGCTTCACCAGTGCAGGTCAGGGGCTTTCATTCTTTCTTACTTTCCCTCCTTTATTTGTTTTTTCCTTTTTTTGTCGTTCTTTGAATTTTAGAGCACAACATGTATAGGAATAGGGTAAAAAGTAGACATCAGTAACTGACTCCTTGGTGACTAATCGCTTGTGGAGCCATCCATACAATTAGCCCTTCAATGAATGTGCCCGAAATATATGGGCGTCACTAATTCCGGTGACTTCTGGCAACCATCCAGCCATTGGGCCGGAGAGTCCACTTCATGTAGCAGAACTTCCCACTCAACTCACTCTAGCACATTGTGTGGCCTATAACCCTACCCATCATGATGAGTTGTTTTCACGATGGCTGTAGGTATGCCTGGCAGTAAGAGGTTAATAATAAAATCACAATGGCCATAATAAGCATATTTTCCCTCCCAGTCTCAATCTTGTTGCAAAGCATAGGAGGACCTTAGTGATGGTCTGGTGAAGTTAATGCAAAATATTTCCCTAAAGAAACTGTCCTTGAACCCCTTGTTCATGGGTGGCATCTACTATGATGCCATGGTGGCATATGCGGACCATATGGATATTACCATTTGGTGGACCATACAGCCGCCAAAAAAGCCTGTGCACCATTAGGTTAAACTTAGTGAAAAAAGAAAAGAAAAAAAGCATACTGCACCATAGACTTATAACCTGATAACTGGCGTTGAGAACCACCCCAAAAGCTTTCATTCCATAAATTCCTGCAGGTTGTTGTATAGTGTGGTCGCCCGGCGTCAACTTTTGAGGTCCATGTGGGTGGTTCTCTCTGGCCTTCAGCAGGGAGCACCCCTGCCTGGAAATGCAAACACTACCACATGGACATTTGGTAAGAGTTTTATTGTTATCATTATCAGGTATTATTATATTTGATTTTTATTTAATCATCATTTGCTTTTCTGTTATCAATTCATGGAATTATTGTATTTTTACTTTGTGTAAAATATATGTATATAATTTATATAATTACATTGCCATCATCTTCATATACAATAGCGCATTTCCATTCATCAATTCTACAGGTGTTCGAGGAGCTCCCTTGTTGCAAGTGTTGGCACGAGGTACCCCCTTGGCTGCACATGAACGTGACACTCTCATTCCACTGCTTTCCACATTCTGTGCCACTCTGACTGCTGTTCTGTCCACTCTCCATGATTCTGAGTTTCTTGGCGACCAAGGTTTGTACTTTTGTCATTTTTGAATTTTAATTTTTGTATATATTCAGTAATTGCATGTACATATGTGTAATATTTATCAGTGCGCCAATCCCACAGCTGAAGTCATGACATGGACATGTAGGTATAGATATTTAACTAGTCTCCATTTTTACAGTCTCAACAATGTATTAAAGATATTTTTCCTTCCCTAATACCAGACGAGACAGGTGAGCAGCGATTTCCCAAAACGACAGATAACCACTTCCCCTTCACTGTGGAGGAGCTTATTAAGATGTCAGCAAGCCTCAGGGACGTGTGCGTTGGGCTGGTGGAACTTGCCCATCCAGACGTGAGAATGTCTGCCATGACAGACACGTCTTACAAAACCATGTGGGCGCATTGCTTTAAGGTTTGTTGAGTTGTTCCATTTCATGTTACAAGGCATTCTTTTCTTGTGATTAATCATTTGACTTTCAGGTAAAATTATTTTTATTTGTATGTAGTCTCACAGAATTGAGCAAGAGCAGGTTATAATGAAGAGAAATAACTCCCCAGATTCTATGAAATTTTCTGTTAGATCAGCTATCAGATAGTAAATTGTTGTTTTTGGTACTTACATAGAAATACGTAGTTTTAGTCAATATTAAAATACGGATACAAGGATATGTAAAGCTAGTTTCTTGATATATAATAGCAGTTACTTAGAAAGAGTGTATGTCTTAAAATTAATTACTTGAACCAACCTTGTTTCATCAGGTGTGCGTGGGAGTGGTCCGTCAAATACACTTAAGAGATACCAGACGTATGTTCTGTCCAAAAGGACATTGGCTGAGTACACGCGTGTCACTGCCTCTTGGGAACTGCCAGACAGTGTCCTTTGTACCACGCACAAGTCGAAGGCAAAGAAGATTGTTCATGCCCCAGAGATGGCTCACTAGAGATGAATTAGGTATTTGGATATTCACTCAGTGTAGATTATGATGATATTGGTCTGTTTTGACATTTTTGTGCATTTCATGGAGACATTGTGAACATTCCCCCTTCCCTGCTCTCACCAGTATCATTGCCATTATCCTACAGAGACCGAAGGCCCACCGCTCTCCATAACCGAGCAGCGCAGAGCAACCATCCTCCAGGAACTCCCGTTTGTGATCCCTTTTGAGTCTCGAACGCAGGTCTTCAGCAACCTGGTAGCTGATAACAGGAGCAGGAGCCAAATGAGGGCAGAATTCAATGAAGGACCTATGATTAATGTGACCATTAGAAGAACACATATCTATGAAGATGCCTTTGAAAAGTTATCACCAAGCAATGGTAAGTATCTTTGTTTTATAGATACATATATGGTTGTATATTTCTCCTGCATATTTTCAGGATAATGAAGCATTTCATCTTAAAAAATGTTTTTTCATCTCAAGTGACTTTTGCTTTGATTGATAAAGAATACAAAAAGATTGGGAGAGAGAAAAAAAGTAAATTTTTTGTGTTTATTTCCAAGTCATACACTGTAGTGCTCTTTCTCCAGAACCAGATTTGCACCTACGAATGAGAGTCCGACTCATGAATGCTGTTGGTTTGGACGAGGTGGGCATTGACGGTGGTGGCATTTTTCGAGAATTTTTGTCCGAGCTCCTGAAGACGGCCTTTGACCCGACTCGAGGATTTTTCCTTTTAACACGAGAAAATACTCTCTACCCCAATCCAGGATCACATCTCATAGCTGAAGATTATCAGACTCATTATTACTTCATTGGTAGGATGTTAGGAAAGGTGAGTGACCGTCGCCAGCTGTTCTTGATAAATAATGGCAATATGTAGCTTTTTGTACTGTCGCAGCAGGCAAATTTGTTAACTCATTCATTGCCTTATGTTTTATAATTTCATTTGCTTTTTATGAAAGGTCTTAAATGACATTTTGAATATATATCTTGTGCCTAATATTACTAGAATTTCAGCATAGTGGCCTTAGTATGTTTAGTAGTTTAATATCTTAGTTATTTTTCAGTATTGATATCCACAGTTGTCAGTTGTCTATACAACTATATTGCACTTAAGTTATGAAATAACAGGATTATTTTCCTAAACTTAAATTGTCATTCCAACAGGCTCTTTACGAAAATCTCTTAGTTGAAGTTCCACTAGCAGGGTTCTTTGTCTCTAAAATTTTGGGGAGATCCTCATCATCAGTAGAATTCCATCACCTGGACTCCCTCGACCCAGAACTCTGTCGAAACCTCTTGTACCTGAAGACTTATGAAGGGGATGTCCAGGACCTCGGGCTGGATTTCACGGTTCTCAACTCTGATCTAGGACAAAATACTGTGAGTTAAGGACCCTGTTTTTCTTTCATTAGGAAATGCCAAAAAAAAAATTTTTTTGTTTGTGTTTTTTTAAAGAATGTAGGAAAAAGTATCTCATAACTCCAATATGCTTAACCCAATAATTGTATATATCTGTAAAAGTATATCTATTTTGTGGATTTGCCTTAGTATGTACCTGGCCGTTGTTATGTAGTGTGTTGGTGACAGATTCCCTTGATGCTGTAATTCTTTCTCTGTACAGATTGAAGAGTTAATTCCAAATGGATCAAATGTGGCAGTGACTAATGAAAACAGAATTGAATACATATACCGGATGGCAGACTACAAACTGAACAAACAAATAGCAAAACAAATACAAGCATTCAAGAAAGGTAAATTCTGTTATACAGTGTCTACTTCATACTTTAAGTAGTGGAAGCCATATTTTATGTACTGCTGTTCATAAAGCCCTTTCATTCAGTTCCTTAAAGAAAAAATCTCAGGCCATTTCAAACAAGACAAAACAAAACTGAGAGTGATTCACTAAAACCTCTCTGGGTCTGTGACCTCTCTAAGCCTATATTCTGGCTTAAGGTGGTGAGCCACCCAGTCTGATCTGTCACAAAGGGCACTGGCAGGCATAGAAAATTGGAAATCTGGTTTACTATTTTGATGTTAACCATTGGTGTTACTATAACGGAAGGGTTAAGAGAAATAAGTAATATTTTAGTTAACAATTTATTTTTTTTAATGCAAACAATAGAAAATAAAGTAGTGAGTACCAACAACATTAGTAAGCTTTGCATGATTCATTTTATCATTTGGTGTATTGTTGAAACAGGTTTGGCTGATGTCGTACCCCTGGAGTGGCTACAGATGTTTGATTGGAGGGAACTTCAGATGTTAATATCAGGTGCATCAGTTCCCATCGACCTAGAGGACTTAATGGACAATACTAGATATGGAGGTAGGATTGGAATTTGTATATTATAGATGCATGGAGTGCAAAATTGTTACATTGTAGCACTGAGAATCATGTGTGAGCAAGAAATGTAAATTATATTTTAGAATAGATGTATATGAGTCATTTGAAATTCCCAGTATATTGATTTTATTATTCAAAGATATTTTTTAAGATGAAGTGAGATCTATTCAGATAATAAAACATGCTTCCTTTCGAGTGAAAATGCCCTTTAAATTCCTTTTTATATACTAATCTAGATTTATTCATTTGTAGTTTTTCTTGGAATTACTGTGTGTGTTAGTCACTCTTTATTGCATTGGTGTTTTTCCAGGTGTATATAATACTGAGCATCCAACAATAGTAGCATTCTGGCAAGTTTTGCGAGAATTCAACGAAGCACAGAAGCGGCAGTTGCTCAAGTTTGTTACAAGCTGTTCACGTCCTCCACTTCTAGGGTTTAAGGTTAGTCTACAGAGATGGATAATTCTTTGAGTCTGTGGATAATGATTCCCCCCCCCCCCCCCCCTTTTTTTTTTTTCTTATGCCATCCTTTTATTTAGAAACTGATCTGTAATTTTTTCCCCATCTGAAAAAAACAGGAATTGCAGCCTGCCTTCTGCATTCAGCCATCAGGTTCAGAAGACCGCCTTCCAACTGCATCCACATGTATGAATCTTCTGAAACTGCCAGAATACAGGGACCAGCAGACTTTACGAGAGAAGCTACTCTACGCCATAACGTCTGGAGCAGGATTCGAATTGTCCTAGTTAATACTATTTAAAATTATTCAGTGAGATGTATGTGATGCGTGTTTGTCCTGCGCATATGTATATTTTTGGACTTAACACCTGCTACTGCTGCTGCTGGTAAATGGCATATATTATCATATACAAATATTTCCATTTGACTGCAAGACATATTTATTTCATACAACTATTTTTAAAATTGCGACTTATGTTACCCTATTTCTTTCCTGTGAGTCCTTGTACTCAAAACATATATTGATGTGGTATTTATTTCAAGATGTATTCATTATACTATTGTAATTATTGAAAAAGCAGGCCCTTGATTTTTATCATTCAAATTGATTTGGTATTTCAACATATTAAAAACTAAACAGTATGTATTACTGGATGATGTCTTTGGAAAATTTGAAAGTGGCCTGACTCCATTGACAGCCATTCTGTGCCTCCTTTGATTATTATGACATATCGCATCATAGTTTGTAAAGGACTGGAGTATATCAATGCTTTATATTTTCAAATAAGTTATTTTGAGGAATAAACTGAACTAAAGTTCATATTTACTACAGAAGAAAAATAGTTTATGTCCAGTATTTAAATTGTGTTTTATTGATATTATTATTATTTAAAAAAAAATTATTAATTTTTTTATTGTTTTTATTTATTTTTTGTGTTTCTCATTTTTGGACATGCTAGTCTAGTTGCACAACCATCCAGTATATTTTTTATGCTTTCTGCAAGCCTTATATATATATAAATATATATATATATCTATTACTTTACCATTTTAAAGAATATATTGTTTATTTAATGTACAGGGACAGATCTTGCTGCTTGAATAAATGCAGAGAAGTGGTTTTTTATACCTTTTCTTTAACTTTGAAGATAAAATGTTGGTGACAGCAAGGTTTTCTCTTATTAAAACATATTTTTTAAAGTTATTAACATAACTTTCCTCTCAAGAGATATTGGTTTAGATATACCAATCAGCTACTGGCAGGAACAACAGTGGCTAGAAAAGGAAAATCCAGAAATTAATGAGAAAATAAGGAGTAGGGAATACATTATAGCAATTCAAAGTATAATATTAATGGTGAAGAACATGCCTGAGGCCATTAAAATAAATTTCTATCTGTGATGAGTGTTGATTCGAAAGGCCATCTATCTTTTGAAAAAAAAAAAAGTACAGAAAACATGAAATTTGTTCTGTTCGTTTATCTGAATATCTAGTCATGAACTTAAGTATATACATTTATTTTATCATTGTCCACTGAAGCAGTTCTTAACCCAATGGTGCCGGGGAAAATGAACAAAAAATGGGGAAATATTGTGCCCACTTTCTATGTTTTTCGTGAAATGTCTGCCGATAGATGGCTCTGCTAGCGCCTGATTTAAATGGCGGGAAAAATGTATTTTTCACTAGTGCTGTGAAAATCGATGGTGTTATTTTTATCATAAACATTATAATTTTTATAATTTTTTTTTTAACATTAGTAACAGCAAAATAAGATCACGTAAAATATTTTGTAAATCAAAGAAACGGGTAAACGGGCGAGACGGGCGGTGCTCGTAACTGGCTCATTGGGGAGTTAGTACAAGTGTTGCCATCTATGCGTAAAAACGATCAAACAAGTACTCACTGTGGGCATAGCACGTACGTACACGTCATACCCGGCCCCAAGGGGTTAAAACTATTCACAATATTTTGTTAGGCAGCTTCAGTCTCCTCCAGTCACAAGTTATTGGACAAAATTTGGAACCCGCCATTTCTACTTTAAATCCAGAACTCGAGGGCTAAAAATATAGATCTGAAATATAGTTGGTGTTCACCTTGTAGAACATAATTTGTATGTATGAGGATACCCCCAGAGTAATGTTTAAATAATGTACCCTCTATTTGTTAAATAAATTGTTGGAGGCATTCCACTCATTTGAATCATTCATTCTCTCAGGTCCATTTGCCCCCCCCCCCCCCTCCTCCTCCTCCTCCTCACAAAGAAAACACTGTTCATAGGAAATAAGTTTTATTAAGGCAGTAGAATAATTGTAAAATATAAAATATGACAATTAATTATTTACATTGCAAGGGTAAAACATTGCTTAATGCAACAAAACCTGTGGTCATATAATAGGCTCTCCAGTCATATCATAGAAAGCAACTAAAATTTTTTTTAAAATGAACATAAAAACAAAAAATCACAAGACACATGGGAGCACTTTGATACTATCACAACTCACAATGACCACAATCAGATTGCTAGCTAATCATGGCACGCACACGGTCTCTCGCAATGCAGGCAGATGAGGATAACGAAAGGTATTGATTTGAATTAAGCTTCAATAGTGTGATGCAGCAAAATGATTACACTTGTGTGTCAATCAACAGGAGTTAAGTAATATACATATAAAATGTATAGTTCAGACTATATTTTTCTTTCGTCCCTTGCCTGTTCTGCACCTCACAATCACAACATTTGAGCCATACTTAAGAAGATTTAAGTTACTACAACAATTTCTCTGACATTATGCTGGATTTGAAAATGAAAATAAATCAATTAATGACTAACAAGAGACTTGTAAGACTGGTATTAGACTGTACAATGTTTATTTTATGCCTAAACATCAAACAATAATTGTCAAAATGGGTGAAAAAACTTCACTACAGTTCTTGTGTTCTGTTTGATGTAAACGTTTTTAAAAGCCAATAACAGATTTAAGAAAATTACACTTGAGTGTGTAGTGTACAGTAAAGTAATTCATAAAGATACCTGCTAGAATACTGTACCTTCATCAAATTATCATTACCATATATATAGAGAATTATGAAGTGAGGATGAATGTATATAAATCTGCTGCTACTCGATGCAGGTGAAGGTGTGAAAAAACATACACAGTAACATCAAGGATCAAACAATGGTACAGTAGCTGCACGCTATGAGGGTCTCCGAGGGGCATGAGGTGCGGTGGACTCTGCAAGGAATACTAAGGGTGGTTTTTGAGGAAGGTACCGAAGCTTAGAATTTTTCTTCTCGTTCAACTATTATCTACAGTCTATACAAATGTCAGTTTTAATTATTTTTTATTTCTTTTTTTTTTTTTTTTTAATTACCTATATATATTTTTTTATAGTTTTTATTTTTATTTTTTTGATTTTCAAAAGTGTATTGTCTCCTGTGAGCACTGTGAAACAAACATTTGCCACTGGCCTTTTTGTACTGCCTTATTTAAAGCCTGAAAACTCTCCACTCCTTGTTATCTAATGGTTTTCTTCTCTAGAAATTCAACTTCATAAAGGGGCTCCATCTAAATATTAAATTTTTGAACGGAAGCCAAAATCTATAAAACTATGATAATCAATCAAAAAAGAGCCTTAAAATTCTCTGCTAACTTAATTTGCAATAAATGCAAGATCACAAAAACTTTACTAACTTAAGAAAGATCATGGAAAAAATATATATATGCTAATCCATTCACACCTTATCATGTAATGAAAAACAACACAAGAGTATGAAAGAAAACAGGTTTCTATTCATCAATATCCTCCAAAACATTTCTCTCTCAGATGACCACCTCGAAAATCCACTGTTGTTGTCCCTCACACGGTATGTTCTCCGAAGCCCAGGAGAAGACGGAAGGAAAGTTTCCACAGCTAATGCAAATATATAGTTTTTAATTTTTTTTCTTGCCCCCCAAACAAACAAAAACTGCCTGTCAAAATCAAATTACCAAATAAAGTCACACCACAAGCAAAATTCATCACAGATACACCACATCATCATTATCATCATCCACTTATCAGGAACCCTCAAAATCAGCGCAGAAAATCACAATCATAACACGTCAAGACATAAAAAGACATCCGCAGCTCTTTAATGAGGAGTATAAATTTCTCTTGCAACCTTTCTTGGCACAAAGCTCTTCTGACAGACCCTTTTTTTTTCTTTTTTTTTCTTAACAAAACAAGCTGTACATAAGCTGTAATGCATTTCTGACAGAGCAAGCATACAACTCTTACTTTAGTAACAATATTTATATCACGCCTGTAAGAACAGGCTCCACACAGTACACTGTCCACTTTCAACGAAAATCCCACTGTTGTTGTCCCTCACACGGTATGTTCTCCGAAGCCAGGAGAAGACGGAAGGAAAGTTTCCACAGCTAATGCAAATATATAGTTTTTAATTTTTTTTCTTGCCCCCCAAACAAACAAAAACTGCCTGTCAAAATCAAATTACCAAATAAAGTCACACCACAAGCAAAATTCATCACAGATACACCACATCATCATTATCATCATCCACTTATCAGGAACCCTCAAAATCAGCGCAGAAAATCACAATCATAACACGTCAAGACATAAAAAGACATCCGCAGCTCTTTAATGAGGAGTATAAATTTCTCTTGCAACCTTTCTTGGCACAAAGCTCTTCTGACAGACCCTTTTTTTTTCTTTTTTTTTCTTAACAAAACAAGCTGTACATAAGCTGTAATGCATTTCTGACAGAGCAAGCATACAACTCTTACTTTAGTAACAATATTTATATCACGCCTGTAAGAACAGGCTCCACACAGTACACTGTCCACTTTCAACGTTCAGTAGATTGAGGCAAAGCATTACAAACAATGTGACCAGCAAGCCACATACTGATAGTAAATCCTTTATAAACTGCAGACATAAAACAGATTGCACTTAATACTTTCTCTTTGTAAAAAAAGAAAAAAAAAGGAAACACTTAATTACATTTAAATATCAATACCTAATAATCTATCCTGACTATGAATCAAATTGTATTACTGACCTAACTATTAACATGTCATTTAGAGAAGGATGCTTTATTCATAATAACCATCACAAACTGCTTGTAAACATAAAATGCAATGCACAAAAATGCATATTTCAACAAAGCTACTGACAAGTCCATTTTTGTCCTAGCAATTCTTCATTTGGAAAATTTCCCAAAGTAGTTTTCAAATCCATTCACAGAAAAAAATAAACAATGATAAAATACTATATTACATGCAATTTGGTCATAATACACAAACAAGTACTTGCATTTGTAAGGAAAACAAATGTCATAAAATTAAAAACTTAACATGGTTAAAAGCTCATTAATAAAAGATTAATTGCAGTCCAGACGCTCACTTTAGAGAACTTTAGGTCAAGACTCAAGAAATTCTTTATAAGGACTTTAAATTCCTCTACTTAAAGGTCAAAATTTCCAATATGAATTTCTTGAGAATTTTCAGAAAGAGAAAATGCATGAGTTTGTAATACCTCCCTTCTCTATTTTTTCTTTTATTCTTATATAACTATTTTCATCCAATGTATATCTGAAAATTGCCTCACAATTCTAGCAAAAATCACAAAGGTTTAAAAAATTGAAGTAGCTATAATCTACATACTGACCAACAAATTGTGAATGAAACGTGTCCCGTGCTTTGGAAGATGGGAAACCTACATACAAATAATGATTTATAAATGCAATTCCTCATCTACAAGAAATTTTGTGCTGCTATTATGTACATCAAGAATGACCTTCTGAATAACCAATGCTGGCAGTGACCTATATCTTTGACTATACATTATCTATATTGACATTTATACAGACATATAAGGATTATCCTTAATAGTGAAAGCCTGTTAGAAGACTTGAGAAAATGTGGCTTTAAATGCAAATGTACGAACAGTTTGAGCTGTATATTAATCTCCAAAAAGTCCAATCATAATGCCTCTATCATGATCTTTGCAGAAGAGCAAGCGTGATGTTAATGCATTTGATTTTCTCACATGTCTGCTGTCCCACCATAACAATCCTACCAACATCGCATCATGGCATCAGATGTCTCTGTGGCTGTGTAGATTCTGCAGTCTTGCTATCCAAGCAGACTACAAATAACTATATAAACCAAAGTAAAACTCAATAAATAAAATTCCCTTCATAGCCTTATGAATTACAATCATGAAGAAAGCTGTTTATCCACGAAAGGAAAATACAGCAAGTTACACTTACTTCACTGGAAAAGGAAACTGTATGGCCAGTCACACAATGACATAACATTAAATTTCTTCATCACTTGTCATAATGAACATTACCATTATTATGCCTCAGCAACAAATGTAGTTCCATCTATGATGGAATGGGAAAAATATCATGAAACAATGTTACATGGAAAAAAAATCCTTCATCAAAATAACAATTCTGACAATCAAACATTAACAACATCTTCAAGTGCTAGATCAGTGGTGAGGACATGCTTGTGTGACGTCTGCCGATGCAGGGGAGGGGCTGCGCTTGATCCTGTGCTCTGCTCACCGTCCACCCACGTCTCCTCCAGCTCCTGGGGGAAGGAAGAGGGGAATCACAAAAAAGGAAAAATACAGCAAGCCTTTGAAGCTGAAACCTACTCATGTATTTGTCCTAAAAAGCAAAGAAGCAGTTGCAGGGATGTACAATGTGGTTGGATGACCTTCCCCTTCTTTAATCACTCTGACAAGTTGAAGTTAAACTTTCCTTTTCATCATGACACAATCTGACTCTTGATCAGTATGCTGAAAGCAATTAATAATGACGTCTTCAATTTTTACATTAGAAGCTTCATAAATCTCAGATGCTGCTATAAAATACTCTACATACTTATATCATCATCCACAAACAGTGAGAAATATGGAACTGATTTATAAAGAAAGATGAAAAGATTTAAGCTTTTCACACTAAGTTTTGTGAAGTCAAAGGCTTAAAACACAACATACTGGAGTTTCTGTAAAAGATGAAATCACAGAGCCTTTTACACTTTCTGCATTGTAGGTGCTGGAGCAGGAACAAAATATGAGCTTGCACAGTGACCTAGACTGATGAGAGGCTTGACACGCATGTTCTTGATGACCGCTGGCAAATGAGCTATAACTTAGAACAAGATCTGATTCCTCAAAAGACATACAGACTACATTTGGGAATACTATTTCTTACTTAGTACAAGGTTCTACAAATAACATTACAGCATTATAAATCCAATATAATCAAGTTGTTTGTTCTTACTTATACTTCATTTGCCCTTTATCTCACTGATTATTTCACTGAACACCAAACACACAGTCTTTAAATTTGGGCTGAAAACAGCACATTTTAGATGCAACAAAAGGAGAAAGCCTAAAAAAAAATAATAATAATGAATGATACATATGGATAAATGAATTTTCCTTTTCATCATGACACAATCTGACTCTTGATCAGTATGCTGAAAGCAATTAATAATGACGTCTTCAATTTTTACATTAGAAGCTTCATAAATCTCAGATGCTGCTATAAATACTCTACATACTTATATCATCATCCACAAACAGTGAGAAATATGGAACTGATTTATAAAGAAAGATGAAAAGATTTAAGCTTTTCACACTAAGTTTTTGTGAAGTCAAAGGCTTAAAACACAACATACTGGAGTTTCTGTAAAAGATGAAATCACAGAGCCTTTTACACTTTCTGCATTGTAGGTGCTGGAGCAGGAACAAAATATGAGCTTGCACAGTGACCTAGACTGATGAGAGGCTTGACACGCATGTTCTTGATGACCGCTGGCAAATGAGCTATAACTTAGAACAAGATCTGATTCCTCAAAAGACATACAGACTACATTTGGGAATACTATTTCTTACTTAGTACAAGGTTCTACAAATAACATTACAGCATTATAAATCCAATATAATCAAGTTGTTTGTTCTTACTTATACTTCATTTGCCCTTTATCTCACTGATTATTTCACTGAACACCAAACACACAGTCTTTAAATTTGGGCTGAAAACAGCACATTTTAGATGCAACAAAAGGAGAAAGCCTAAAAAAAAAATAATAATAATGAATGATACATATGGATAAATGAATTTTAATTCAAAAAATATATATATATCATCATCCTTAATACTAGTTTTAATTAGTGTGTCATACTAACATCCTAATTTCTGTTCAAGGTTTTCTTATAAATAAGACTAAAAAATAAATGCCATCTCTGACCACAGCTACTATTATCATCTAAAAACAAAGGAAGAGAGAAAAAAAAAAACTGAATGAATAAATAAATAAATAATGCTACACACGATGATCACTTAAAATTAGTGGAAAAAACTAATACTATCTTGCAATTACAATTCAACTTTTTTCCTTATATTCCTTTACAAATAACAAAGCCAACATGCAGGTGCAGAGGCAGGCAAAACAAGACAGCCAATAATATGAAAAAGAAAATAAAAAAAAAACATTTTCCTGTATACATATACGTCTCTCTCTATACATGTATATAATCAACAGTGACACAAACCCTATACAGGAGGCCTCTACCAGACACTGACAATAGTGATTCTATCTAAAATTTCTAATGGAAAACTAATACATAACTGCCACCTATGCAAACACAAAAGGCAGTGACAAAAAGTAGAATATCTAAGATAATAATAATAAAATTTTATAATCATAACTGAAAATCAAGACTGTTCATAATAAGAACAATCACAAAAAATACAAATATAATCAATCACAATAACAGCAATATAACACTAACAATGATAATGTTCATAACAACATTAACAATAGACAATGAGTACAATAATAATAAGTCATAATACCAACTAAAATAATGAAAAAGATTGTCATGATTGATAATGATAATGCTAATAAAGATGTAGTGACGATGATGATGATGATGTTAATGACAAAAAAATATAATGTTGACTAAGATTACACCTGTATAATGATTATAAAATAAGAAACACTAACATGATCATTACTTCTAATAATAACCTCTTACATTTTTTTTACTCTGCCACAAGAAGGCTGGATTACACTTACATCCATTGACACATTCACATACATGTACACAGTACAGATAACGATCCCAACATACTTCAAATATTTGAAAAGTATCATAACTATTCAACAGGGGCCTTTGACACTACCAGACCCATGGCTCTCTAAGTATTACTCTATTTGTAGCAGGAGTAAAATCACTTTCAAACAAGTTGAGATCTACTTCTAGGACTATTTAGTTGTTCAATTCAATACACCTTCTAATTCACCAACACCCAATTTTTTTCTTTCTCTCTACTTCCCTCTCTCACACTAGTCTGTTTCAAATTCAAAATTACCCTTTCTCATATGACATTATCCAGGGGGCTATTGGGGCTTTTACTCAGTATGGCCCCTTCAAAATAAAGCTAGTCTGCTCCTCTATGTGTTTATAGCTAAGCCCCCCCCCCAAAAAAAAAAAATAATAATAATTTACCATTTATTTACATTAATTACATACACTTTCCTTTTCACAGCTCACTAGGAATTCTCCTGATGCTCCAGGTGGCCAGCCCATCCCTGGTTTTATCCCAGTTCATGTTACTCTATGTTCTCATATACACTATTGAACTCACAATATCATTTTCTTAATGCCTTTTATATATCTGCCCAGCCCATTTTCTCTTTGTTCTCCTCTCCTTGTCTATTTTTGCTTCTCCCCTAAATCTACATTCCATTTTCTTCTATTCACTAAATCTGCACTTCTGATATGTGATGTTCCTTTCTTCCTTTCTGACTTAATAAGTATTCCTTACTTTACCTTCATGTACTTTGCTTCCCCTTCCTTTGCTCTTTTCACTTCAATCTACAGTTCAAATCCCACCACCCACAACGAACTCTAATTAGTTCACACCTTAACCCAACCTGGACAGGTCATGTGTACCGGCATCATAACAAACTGCTTGGTCTGCGGGATATTCCTACAACACACACCAGAGCGCATGGATTGGGATGTTCAGCTTGATGTTGTGGATTCCCACGCCCAATGTCTGGCCGTTACCCAAAATCACCCGAGTTTATCACGCTTATCTACACTTCTGCTTGCCCGGCGGTGATGGGATAATCTACTCTTTCTTTTCCGGTGCATTTCCCATTTACTGAACACCAACTACAACTCTCCATTTTCAACTATCCTCCTTGGCCTCTTCCCCTGGGCTTTCTACTTCCCCTACCTCACTACCATCTCTCTACACACTACTCCTCCTCAATCTACACTTCTCACCCTGCATTACTTTTCCTCCTTGGACCTCCTCCACAACCCTGCCACTTGCTTTGTGGTTCACACACGGCCCGACCTTCCACGCGTCTGTTGGAATTTTTCCTTTTTTAGAGCCACAGCCTTTTGGCACCTGGAACCTTACACCTGGTGTCTGGTCCTTAGCACCTGGTACCTTTGCTTTACCAGGCCATTACCTCTCTTTAATTCAAAATTCCTCGAATATCCATACTTCTTTTCATGCTACCATGTGTTCTCAACACAATCATCATGACGGTTTTGACAATTTGTTATAGTGGACATGATAATTTTGATAATTTGTCAAAACAGAGGGCATCACTAAATGAGTACTTCTATAAATTAGTGGGATGATAAGAAGGAATAAGCAAACTAAAATAAATAATAGTAATAATTTACCATTCATTTACATTAATTATATACACTTTCCTTTTCACAGCTCACTAGGAATTCTCTTGATGCTCCAGGTGGCCAGCCCATCCCTGGTTTTATCCCAGTTCATGTTACTCTATGTTCTCATACACACTACTGAACTCACAATATCATTTTCTTAATGCCTTTTATATATCTGCCCAACCCATTTTCCCTTTGTTCTCCTCTCCTTGTCTATTTTTGCTTCTCCCCTAAATCTACATTCCATTTTTTTCTATTCACTAAATTTGCACTTCTGATATTTGATGTTCCTTTCTTCCTTTCTGACTTAATAAGTATTCCTTACTTTACCTTCATATACTTTGCTTCCCTTTCCTTTGCTCTTTTCACTTCAATCTACAGTTCAAATCCCACCACCCACAACGAACTCTAATTAGTTCACACCTTAACCCAACCTGGACATGTGTACCGGCATCATAACAAACTGCTTGGTCTGCAGGATATTCCTACAACACACACCAGAGCGCATGGATTGGGATGTTCAGCTTGATGTCGCGGATTCCCACGCCCAATGTCAGGCCGTTACCCAAAATCACCCGAGTTTATCACGCTTATCTACACTTCTGCTTGCCCGGCGGTGATGGGATAATCTACTCTTTCTTTTCCGGTGCATTTCCCATTTACGACTGAACACCAGCTACAACTCTCCATTTTCAACTATCCTCCTTGGCCTCTTCCCCTGGGCTTTCTACTTCCCCTACCTCACTACCATCTCTCTACACACTACTCCTCCTCAATCTACACTTCTCACCCTGCATTACTTTTCCTCCTTGGACCTCCTCCACAACCCTGCCACTTGCTTTGTGGTTCACACACGGCCCGACCTTCCACGCGT